CACCGAAACAAGAGCAGACGACATCCATGGAACCCCTTGTGGAGGAAACGAGGTGGGGGGCAAGGGGGAATGAATGGAACTAGGGGGCAAAAGAGTTTAGGGAAAGGAGACCGACCACACTCAATCCAACTCCGAGTGCGATGACGGAGGTGCGAAGGCAGGAAGGAAAGAGTCCATTTTCCCAGTGGTCCCCAGGGAAGGCAGACCCCCTTTCACAGCCGGGTACCCAGAAGCCCCATGGTTTTATGAGAGAGTTGCATCCCACTCTCAGTCTGTTTAGACTGCCATGTGAGCCATTTGGAATTGGAGCCAGATGCGAACTCCTCACTGGGGATGATTCCTCACTGGCTCCATTCAGCATATTTGTCACTTGGTTTTTCCAATTCTTTTTGCTAGAGGGAAGTTCTAGCAGATGCTGGTGATGTGGTCAGTGGTACTGTGGAGCACAAGAAGCTTTTTCTCGATAAGAGACGATGGTGTGCTGGCTGATGGCCATATATTGGATGATGGATGTCCCACTCTACGATTTGCCAGTCGTGGTCACCTGCTGCCCTCCTTCTGATGTTAAGGGGCACTATATCAGATAGTGCATATAGGCAGGGGACAGGGGTGGTTCTCAGGCACCCTGTTACGATTCTGCAACGTGTCATTTAGGCCGGAGTCGACATGTTTACTGTGGGTTGAGGGTTGAGCGTCCCCAGGTAGAGCATGCATATTCAGCCACAGAGAAACAAATTGCTAAGGAGTGGTGCGTAGAGTGGATGGATGTGCTCCCCACTTTGAATTTGCATGGGAATGTTGTTTCGTGTGTTGACCTTGGCTTTGGTATTTAAAGTGTGCTTTTTGTAGCTGAGTATATGATCCAGTGTTCCCCCGAGGTACACTGGCTGACTCCGGTGCTCGAGGCTCTGGTCTCCCCAGGTGACATTGAGGTGTCGCTCTGCATCCCAGTTTCTCAGGTGGAAGGCACAGATTTGGGGTTTACTCGGGTTGGGTTTGAGATGATTATTCAGGTAGTATCTTGACATATTGTGCGGTGCCCTCTCCAGGATCTTCTCTATGTTCTCGAAATACCTCTGCTGTGGGGTGATAGAGGTCATCAGCATATCGATGAACCGCTGACATTCAGCAGGAAGTGCCTGATGGTTGGTGCAAATATTGAATAGTGGGGGGAGCACACTGCCTTGTGGTCAGCCGTTCTTTTTGGAACACCATCTACTTTTCTGCCCGTTTATTTCCACGTAGAAGTGTCTGTTCTCTAGCAGGCTACAAATGGTCTGGTTAAGGTCTGGGTTGCCAGTCAGGTACAGCTTGTGGATAAAAATGCGATGTTGATCAGTCTCACATGCAGCAAATAGATCAACAAACGGTGCGCCGGTGATCATCTTCTGTTGGTAGCCATCTTCGACGTGCTGTGTGAGGTTTAGTAGTTGGCCTGCGCAGGATCGGCCAGGTCTGAAAGCTCGGTTGGCCTTCAGTAGAATGCTCTTTCTTCCCGCTGCCCTCGCCGTCTACAGCACCTCGGAGGCACCGTGACATATTGCAAGCAAGATCATCAGGGGGCGAAGCCCCACTTTGCTAGACTCCAACAGGTCCTCTACACCTCTCCTTCCAACCTGCTAAACCTGCGCTATCCATTCAGGCTTAACAGGCTGCATACCAGGATATTCTGGGTCCTCTGCTCCCTCCGGGAGGCCAAAGGCTTTAAGTTGACACTCCCTCCCCTTTACATCTAGCCTGTTATAGGCTTCTTTGAGCTCCAGCAGTCTAGCTTCGTGCGCCTTGACCTTATAACCCCGTTCAACAAGTGAGGATTGAAGGGTCATCATCATGGCTTCCTGCCTCTTTACCTTCCCACTCACCCCACTTAACTTATAATTGACAACCCGGAGAAGGGCGGTGTTTTCCTCTGTCTTGTCCAGGAGGCTTTGTGGTTGTTGGAGGCGCCGCTGGCTGTGGTTGTTGGAGGACGCCACAGGCTGTGGTTGTTGGGGGGTGCCGCTGGCTGTGGTTGTTGGAGGGCGCCGCAGGCTGTGGTTGTTGGGGGGTGCCGCTGGCTGTGGTTGTTGGGGGGCGCCGCTGGCTGTGGTTGTTGGGGGGTGCCGCAGGCTGTGGTTGTTGAGGGGTGCCGCTGGCTGTGGTTGTTGGGGGGTGCCGCAGGCTGTGGTTGTTGAGGGGTGCCGCAGGCTGTGGTTGTTGGGGGTGCTGCAGGCTGTGGTTGTTGGGGGGTGCCGCAGGCTGTGGTTGTTGGGGGTGCTGCAGGCTGTGGTTGTTGGGGGGTGCCGCAGGCTGTGGTTGTTGGGGGGTGCCGCAGGCTGTGGTTGTTGGGGGGCGCCGCTGGCTGTGGTTGTTGGGGGGTGCCGCAGGCTGTGGTTGTTGGGGGGTGCCGCTGGCTGTGGTTGTTGGGGGGTGCCGCAGGCTGTGGTTGTTGGGGGTGCCGCAGGCTGTGGTTGTTGGGGGGTGCCGCTGGCTGTGGTTGTTGGGGGGTGCCGCTGGCTGTGGTTGTTGGGGGGTGCCGCTGGCTGTGGTTGTCGGAGGACGCCGCAGGCTGTGGTTGTTGGGGGGTGCCGCTGGCTGTGGTTGTTGGGGGGTGCCGCTGGCTATGGTTGTTCAAGGGCACCGCAGGCGCCATAGGCGCCCCCCAACAACCTAGTTTTTTAAATAAATCTGGATACAGGGAGTTCCTGATAAACGTCGGTGCGATATATGTTGTTTCGTACTCACATCAGTTTTGAGGAATCTAACGTTAAATTTCCCCCCAACTACGTTGTTTTTGACTCAGTTTAGCTTGGTATATAAAATTTATAATTCACATTTTGCCCATGCACTGCTCTCTTAGCATCTATCATCAGCATCCTGTCTGCTGCTTCTCAGTCCCACTGTGTTCTTTCATGTTGTGCATAGCGAGTGCTCATTGTACTTGGCCTAATCCTCTCACTACACATCCAATCAACCCAATCAAGCAGAACTCATCCACTCAAGGTAAGATAAGAACTGTAGGTTAAGGTAAAATCTGAGAATAGGTTTTCCCCTTTTTTCTGGCAACAAAACAGCTGTGTTAAGATGTTAAAACACCAAACTGAAACCTTTTACAAGAAATAATGTCTGCATTAACCACAATACTTGTGGTCAGAATGCTATAATAAAACAATGATAATATGCATTGTCTTTGAAACTGATTGGTCCACACCAGAGACGGTATAAGGTTAAATCGTTATAAAATTATGCTTAAGATTGTGCTGTTTTACGCTAAAGATGGTTTTATGTTTGGGTCATTGGTTTAAAATGTCACGAATACGTTTTCTATTAAAAAAGGACAACTTTTAAAGTGTACAGGGCTGCTTCGTAATGCTCACAAAAATGGTTTTCAATCGTTTGGTAAGTTTACATGCTGTTTATAGGTTATAAATGTGTACACTGTTGTATAGTATAGTACAGGTACTGTAAATGTACAGTACATATTTTGGTTGCTAGGTATGGAACACATTTCCCTAAGTTACGGTCCCTATCCCAATCATATTCCATTGTTTCTTATTGTAGAAATTGCCCCACTTTGTGTTGCATGGGCAATGATTTTGAAGCTTTTACAGTCCCGATCCTCCCCCCCCCCCCGCCATTATTATCATGGGGGAAAAGTCCCCGTTATACATTGTTTCGTTATAAGTACCAACTTTCCAGTCCCTACCCCCGACATATATTGGGGGGCCCCAACACAGACTCATTACACAAAAAGTGCTTGTCACAAATGAAGAACAATACCTTGCTGATCTCGTCAAGGAGCATAAACCATCATGTGAACTCGGGTCATCCTTGCAGCAGCTTTTGTCTTGCCATCGAACGAGGATGGTTCCCACATCGCACCGTTCCAGAGGCGCTACTGCGGTCGTCTGGAACGCTCTTCCTTCTGATATTAGGAAGCCACTGGAGCTATGCATTTTAAAATCTAGATTGAAAACTCATTTCTTTAGAACTGCTTTTTGTGTTTAGTTTGTTTACCTTCCTCCACACCTCCAATTAGCACAGTTGGCTATGTACGGTGCGAACGGGTGCGAACGAAGTTTATTGTATTTACATTATGAGACCCTCTTTTCCAGTAGCAAGATATAGTAATAAGTTTTTACCCTTTTATCTGGCACCAAAACTGACACCTTTTATACAAGGGATCATGTTTGCAATAACTACAACACAAGCAGTCAAAATGCAAACAAAAAGAGACAACTCTGATAATGATATGCACTGTCCTTGAATTTGATTGGTCCACACCCGAGACGGCTTTTATTAGTGCATAGTCTCCACTGGTGTTGGACCAGATGACGCCAAAAGGCGTACAACTCAAAAACAGCACACTATCAGAGTATTGAGAGCTGTTTTTGAGTTGTATGCCTTTTGGCGTCATCTGGTCCAACACCAGTGGAGACTAGGCTCTAAGAAAAGCCGTCTCAGGTGTGGTCCAATCAATTTCAAGGACAGTGCATATTATCAGAGTTGTCTCTTTATGTTTGCATTTTGACTGCTTGTGTTGTGGTTATTGTAAACATGATCCCTTGTATAAAGGTGTCAGTTTTGGTGCCAGATAAAAGGGTAAAAACGTATTACTATATCTTGCTACTGGCAAAGAGAGTCTCATAATGTTAATGCTTAGCCCGAGCTCTCAATACTCTGATAGTGCGCTGCTTTTGAGTTGTACGCCTTTTGGCATCATCTGGCCCAACACCAGTGGAGACTAGGCTCTAAGAAAAGCCGTCTTGGGTGTGAACCAATCAATTTCAAGGACAGTGCATATCATTATCAGAGTTGTCTCTTTTTGTTTCCATTTTGACTGCTTGTGTTGTGGTTATTGCAAACATGATCCCTTGTATAAAGGTGTCAGTTTTGGTGCCAGATAAAAGGGTAAAAACGTATTACTATAAGTTTAACGTACAGGCATATAAGAGTTACCTGCACTCCAAGAGCAAGAACCATTACATTCTGAATACAGGTGTAAAGACAACTTAACACACTTTTCTTGAGATGGTTCTTTATTGAAGACACGTTCACTTGGAAAGGCGGAAATCCCACTGCAACAGCCCAGTCTCCCGCGCATCTCCATATATACGGACCAAGGCTAAACCCCCCTTCCCGAACCTTCTCGCTGACTCTGGACACTTGCTCCACCAGCAGATTTTACCGTCCTCTTTCGTCACCTGACCGCACTCCCTTATCGATCATTCCCGTAGCCACCAATCCCTTCGCACTCACAGCTGACACTCCTGTCATTACCTCCCACGGCCACTAGTCCACTCACACCACATGTAGGCTCGACTGTCATTACACAGGTTTGGTGCAGTGGTAGTGATTGTGCCTCATGTCCCGAGGTTCAATTCCCTGGCTTGCCCACATTTCTGTGGTGGAGTTTGTATTTTGTTTTACTGTTCCGCATAGGATTCCTTTGTGTTACAACATTTCCTCCCCATAGCTAGAAAATTATATAAGCGTAACAGCTATTGGATAAATATCCAGATGCAAAACAAATGACTTGCAAATGTACTCAATCAGGATGAGAAAAATCACTCCCTGTTATGAAAAAAACGGCAAGACCATCCCTCAAAAATATTGAGACTCAGTGAGGCTCTCCAGGGTAAAGACGCATAATAATAATAATAATAAACATACGTTATTTAAGAGTATATGATGGCGCAGGAGCAACGTATAAAAAAGCAATCACCATTGCTTTCAACGCCAACAAAAATTAAATTCAAAGTTTCATTCTTGGGCGTGCGTTACCGAATGTCTCTTTAGGGTGTAGATCCGTGAAAACTCCTTGCCGCACTCCTTGCAAACGTGCGGCTTCTCGCCCGTGTGTGTCCTCGTGTGCCTCTCCAAGTCTGAACATTGTGCAAATCCCTTGCCGCACTCCTTGCACACAAAGGGCCACTCGCCCGTGTGCGTTCTCGTGTGCCTGTCCAAATCGGACCGCTGTGCGAAGCCCTTGCCGCACTCCTTGCACACGTGCCGCCACTTGCCCGTGTGCGAGATGAAGTGCGCCTCTAAGTGGGCGCGTCTTGCAAAGCCCTTGCCGCACTCCTTGCACACGTACGGCTTCTCACCGGTGTGCGTCCTCGTGTGCGTCTCCAAGTCGGAGCGCTGCCTAAAGCCCTTCCCGCACTCCTTGCACACGTGCGGCCACTCGCCGGTGTGTGATATGGAGTGCGTTTCCAAATTGTAGCGATGCGCAAAGCCCTTGCCGCACTCCTTGCACAAGTGCGGCTTCTCACCGGTGTGTACTTTAGCGTGTTTCTCCAAGTCAAAGCGGGTTGCGAACCCCTTCCCACACTCGATGCACGCGTGTGGCCACTCTCCGGTGTGTATCCTGGAATGTTTTTTTAAGGTGTACCGCGTTGCAAATGCCTTCCCACACTCGTCGCACGTGTGCTTTCTCCCATCGGCGGTGACCGCCACGAGCAGGGTGGTGCCTCCGAGTGACTTCCCGCACTGCCTGCAGGATCGCGAGGTCTTGCTGGCACGTTCCGCTTTGTCTTTCATCGCGTCGACGCATCCTCCTCCCTTCGCGCATTCCTCGCACAGGAGTTCCATTTCCTTTGCTTCGTATGCCACACATGGTAAAAAATGCAAATGGGAGGGTTCGATTAACTGATGCGAGAAAAATAAGCAGCAGAAACAGCAACGGTAACACCTTAGGTTTGCATTTGTTTGTATATGGAGGTTATTAAGCTAATCTATAGCATCTTTGGAGGCTTGCTGGATCTCGGTGATATTTCCCATGAATCAGCGGTACGGGCAGTGTTGGATCATGTGATCCGAAGTCTGGCTCTGGTGACTCATTTCCTCTCCCCAGCCAATTCTGCGACTGCTACTCCCTGCCCCCCAGCTACGACCAGGCCTACCCCAACCTCCATCACTACCCCAACCTCTATCACTACCCCAAACACCATCACTACCGGAACACCCATCACTACCCCAAACCCCATCACTGCCCCAACCCCTATCACTACCCCAACCCCTATCACTAGCCCAAATCACTACCCCAACCGCTCCTTAACCACTCCCACCTGTCCTGCTGTCACCATAGCTACATCACCACTTTTAACAACCTCATCCTTCATGTCAACCACTATCATCTAATGTACAATTTTATAACTTAGGCACTGCCTTACCAAAACTTACTTCACCTGGAATGGTACTTTCTACAAACAAAATGAAGGTACACCCATGGGTTCCCCCTTATCTCCAGTGATAGCGAATGTTTTCATGAAGAAATTTGAAACTGATGCCATCCAGACATCCACCCTACGTCCTTCCTTGTGGAAGAGATATGTAGATGACGCTTTCGTCATTTGGCCACATGGCCTAACAGCATTGAATCAATTCCTCAACCACATAAATTCCATACACCCATCCATCAAATTCACCATTAAAGTGGAGAAGGATGGTGAGCTACCATTCTTGGATGTTTTGTTTGAGAAGAAGCGTGATGGCTCCTTAGAACATTCTGTCTACAGGAAAGCCACCCATACAGATTCCTATCTGAAACCTGAATCCCACCACCCGACACAGAAGATTTCCCTAATCAAAACCTTGCACCATAGAGCCCACTGCATTTCTGACCAACAGTGAGAGACAGAATAACAACAATCCAGAAAAACGCATGTCAAAAATGTTAAAAATTGATTTGCATTTTAATGAGGGAAATAAGTATTTGACCCCCTCTCAATAAGAAAGATTTCTGGCTCCCAGGTGTCTTTTATACAGGTAACGAGCTGAGATTAGAAGCACACTCTTAAAGGGAGTGCTCCTAATCTCAGCTTGTTACCTGTATAAAAGACACCTGTCCACAGAAGCAATCAATCAATCAGATTCCAAACTCTCCACCATGGCCAAGACCAAAGAGCTCTCCAAGGATGTCAGGGACAAGATTGTAGACCAACACAAGGCTGGAATGGGCTACAAGACCATTGCCAAGCAGCTTGGTGAGAAGGTGACAACAGTTGGTGCGATTATTCGCAAATGGAAGAAACACAAAAGAACTGTCAATCTCCCTCGGCCTGGGGCTCCATGCAAAATCTCACCTCCTGGAGTTGCAATGATCATGAGAACGGTGAGGAATCAGTCCAGAACTACACGGAAGGATCTTGTTAATGATCTCAAGGCAGCTGGGACCATAGTCACCAAGAAGACAATTGGTAACACACTACGCCGTGAAGGACTGAAATCCTGCAGCGCCCGCAAGGTCCCCCTGCTCAAGAAAGCACATATACATGCCCGTCTGAAGTTTGCCAATGAACATCTGAATGATTCAGAGGACAACTGGGTGAAAGTGTTGTGGTCAGATGAGACCAAAATGGAGCTCTTTGGCATCAACTCAACTCGCCGTGTTTGGAGGAGGAGGAATGCTGCCTATGACCCCAAGAACACCATCCCCACTGTCAAACATGGAGGTGGAAACATTATGCTTTGGGGGTGTTTTTCTGCTAAGGGGACAGGACAACTTCACCGCATCAAAGGGACGATGGATGGGGCCATGTACCGTCAAATCTTGGGTGAGAACCTCCTTCTCTCAGCCAGGGCATTGAAAATGGGTCGTGGATGGGTATTCCAGCATGACAATGACCCAAAACACACGGCCAAGGCAACTAAGGAGTAGCTCTAGAAGAAGCACATTAAGGTCCTGGAGTGGCCTAGCCAGTCTCCAGACCTTAATCCCATAGAAAATCTGTGGAGGGAGCTGAAGGTTCGAGTTGCCAAATGTCAGCCTCGAAACCTTAATGACTTGGAGAAGATCTGCAAAGAGGAGTGGGACAAAATCCCTCCTGAGATGTGTGCAAACCTGGTGGCCAACTACAATAAACGTCTGACCTCTGTGATTGCCAACAAGGGTTTTGCCACCAAGTACTAAGTCATATTTTGCAGAGGGGTTAAATACTTATTTCCCTCATTCAAATGCAAATCATCTTCTTTGGTTCTTTCGGTAAAGTCACGTAGAATGAGAATAAAATAATAAATTGATAAAATAAAATAACACAATAATATTCTCACGACGTTTCGGCCACAACACAAGCGGCCTTCATCAGGTGAAGGGACGAGACTGTCTGGTAGGACAGCGCTGGAGCGAAAAAGCCACGTTCAGATCACGACCTTTAAGCTGTGTGAGAGGAAACAAAGCGCCTTGACAAAGGAATTAGCATATAATTTAGCATTGAAATGGCTGAGTGATTAGCTTGTGACTTCTCATTCTACGTGACTTTACCGAAAGAACCAAAGAAGATGAATCATTGCAGTCACGAAAGCTTTAAATCGAAATTTAAAATGCAAATCAATTTATAACATTTTTGACATGCGTTTTTCTGGATTTTCTTGTTGTTATTCTCTCTCACTGTTCAAATAAACATACCATTAAAATTATAGACTGATCATTTCTTTGTCAGTGGGCAAATGTACAAAATCAGCAGGGGATCAAATACTTTTTTCCCTCACTGTAAACAAACAAGATCCAGGTCCGATTCAGTACAGTACACAAAATCCGTGATCTAATCCCATCTGTGAAGGATGTCATTCCTGACTTGCAATACCGTGGAGTCTACAAACGAAGTTGCATATGTGGTAATTGTTACATTGGGGAAACGAAAAGTCAGATCTGAAACACGGCAGAACTAATTCCTCAGCCGTTGCTGATCTTTGCTGTAACGCTGTGGGCTCCCATGATATTGTTTTCTCCGAGACCAAGGTGCTCTGCAAGCCGTCTAGCTACCATCAAAGATATGTTCATGAAGCCATCCAGATATATAAACATAGACATAACTTCAACCGAGAGGACGGATATAAATTGAGCAATCATTGGAAATATGTTATTAACCAAGTAAAATTTAACTGTTCATAGTTCCATCTTATTTACCGGGTATTAGTCTATTTTACCGAGTTAATTGCATCCTTGGCGTTTAGCAGTGCGGCTATGTTGCTTTAGATGTCATCATCTATCTTGGCAAGAATCATGTTGCCCTTACTCAGCGTCACTGCTGTACCTGCAGTGTACACACTCCTCTCACCCCCCCACCCTCCCCCTCTCCGACTTATTTAACTGCCCTAACCCTGGTCTCTCTCCCACTTCAGTAAAAAAAATTCCTTGCTGTGGTTGTCACACCTGATGGTGATTGCTTGTGTTGCAATCGAAACGTCGTGATTTATTTATTTCTATTTTATATTTCTAGTTATTTATTTATATTCATTTTTTCACCTAAGTGACTTTACCGAAAGAACCAAAGAGTATAATTTTATAGCTGCTGTAAAACACCTTGCAATACGGCACTGCTATATAAATCTACATAAGATAAGGGGACCGTATTTCTATCCCCTTTTCTGCAGTGTATTTAGGGCTGACCACTTTCCTGGGTTGGTCCAACCCCGGAAGTCCTTGTTCTTATAAATGATTTAGCTTCGTCACAAAAGGTTGTTTGAGAGCAGGGCTATCTAAATGGAGCGCACGAGGAATGAGCCTTAATTTTGCGGCCGTTCTTTGACACGACGCATCAGATCAAGGGTAGAGACTCGCCTTCAGCAATGTCCTCCTCCGACAGCTCCACCTCAATGAAATTCTGGTCCGACGTGTAGGCACGTCCGCAGGAATTCCCCATCTCCTCTGGCCTCTCACTGGTGTCTTCAACTTGAACCGTCGTTGACTCTAGACCTGTAATATATACACACACTTGTCTTTCACATGTAGAAATAGTTAAACGTAAATAAATGAGGCAGTTACAAATCCACCTGTTAAGAATGATAAACATTGTCCGAGATGAGCCCTTTGAGTCTTGGGTGTTAAAATAATAATCAATTAATCATACAATAAGTATTTATTTCCATAAGTAGATTTAAACCACCACAGATGCCATTTGGAAAGCCAAATTCAAGAGCACAAATTCGTTGCAAGTGTTTTGAATTCCTTTAACCGCCAGCTTGATTCTCGTTTTTTTTGTTCAGAGCTCATAAATGTGGATGTAAGCCTCTATTATAAGAGCTAATTGTGCCTGCAATTTAACTCTCTGAAAATCACGACAGCACTTGCATTAGCAACCATATTGATGCCATATTTGACCGAGCCTGAGCCTTGATCACTGATGAGTTCAGCGCGGTCACAGATGACTCCACATGGCTATGGGTATTTAAAAAAGAAAATGGAATCTGTCCTATACCAGCTCTAAACATTCTCTATGAATGCCTGCCCTACGTGCTTGTAACTGTTGGTGGCAAGAGTGAAGCAGAAGGTAACACTGGTGCGCAAGACGAAGAAGAGCCGAGGTTAAATTCCAGGACTCGGGAACCTTTCTGTATGAAGTTTATACATTCTCCCACCTGTTCTTCAGAGTGTGCGAGTGTGTGTGAGTGTGTGTGAGTGTTTGTGTGTGTAGAGTTTGTGGGAAGCGGCAGTGTAACGGTTGGCACTCTACACTACAAACCTGGCGACCTGAGTTCAATTCCTGCTCACGGCCAACACCAGTAACGATTATCTAAGTTGGTCATAGGCCTCCCCTAGGTAGACTCAGCCTCAAATGAGTACCTGGTGCGGTGTGTAAACACAATCACTGGGGAGACAGGTTGCTGGGCGTGGTGTTGTGCCTCCCACCCCCTCGTGTGCTGTGGTGGTCTTCATAGGTGCTTGCTAACAGCACTTGCCTCAACAATCTGTTCAGGCTATATGGGGGATCTTTGTTTTTTTTTGTGAAGTTTGTAAACTCTCCCCCCTGTTTTGCATGAGTTTCCTCCGGATTCTCCAGTTTTTTCACGTGACAAAGCAAAACCCACACAATGGTATTGGCGAAAACATCCCAATGCTGAAAAATGTACCTGCAAATTACACAATTGAATCAGAATATGTATTTATACTGGAGGAATCCGATGAGCCATGAGGCTCTTTTTCACCAATGTCAAACTGAGATCACACACAGCAGCGGTAACAACATCATCCCCCCCTACTGTAGAACTTAGCAGAACCCTCCTGAAAAAGACTCTTGAGACTCAGCGAGGCTTTCCTGGGTAAACAAGCATAACAATAATAATATTAATAGGCTCTTTAGAGAGCATTCTTCCGAGCTTGTTGCTAGGCCCCGTGCCTTGCCCTTCATCAGCGATACCCTGCCTTTGGAGATTGGCCATTTGCTGTATTCCAAAATGATGAAAAATAAGAATAGGTTTTACCCCTTCTGGCAATAAATCCGGGTGTTAAGATGTTCAAACACCAAATAGATAACTTTTACAAGGCATCAAGTCTGCATTAACCACACATACTTGTGACAAAACACGCAAACAAACATGTTCTGATAATATATGCGATGTTTTTTTTAACTGATTGAGACAAGGCCATGAACAAGGCTGTCTCTGATGTAGGCCAATCAGTTTCAAAGACAATGCATATGAAATAAGACTTTGGTCCTTTTCTTTGTCAACAAGGTAAGGTTTTTATTTCCGCGGCACGGGTCCACCACCTTCGGTCCTGCTCTCTCCCACAACACCCCGAACTCCGCCTCCCGCTCCCTCTTTTAAACTTTTCCTGGCTCCGCCCCTTGTCGCACTCCGTTTCCACCAATCCTCACCTCTTACCCTTTCCTGGCCTAACCGTCCCACCTGATGCTCACCCAACCTCCCAGCTCTTTTCCGTTTTGAACATCCCGGCCAATCCTCTTGCTCCCCGTGCCCCAACCAATCAGAGCGTGCGTGTTTGCTCCGCCCTTCTTAATTTCCCTAGTCCCAGGCATCATGTGGGACAATCGCTACACATACATTATTTGATTTGAAGCTTTCGTGACTGCAGGGATTACTCTTTGGTTCTTTCGGTAAAGTCAAGTAGAAAATAATTAATTAAATCGGGTTTAATTGGGTACGACGTTTCGATTGCAACACAAGCAACCGTCATCAGGTGGAACTAAATTTGAGAGAGAGACAAAACACAGACACGGAGACACACAGAGAGACACACAAGCAGAGTGTCTCTCTGTGTGTCTATGTTGTCTCTCTCTGCTTGTGTGTCTGTTTGTGTGTCTCCGTGTCTGTGTTTTGTCTCCCACTCAAATTTAGTTCTACCTGATGACAGTTGCTTGTGTTGCAATCGAAACGTCGCATTATATTATTTAATTTATTTTCTTTCTACGTGACTTTACCGAAAGAACCAAAGAGTACATACATTATTATCAGAGCATGTTTGTTTTTCATGTTTTGCCACAAGCATGTGTGCAGACTTGCAAAATGTATCTTATTTGGTGTTTGAACATCTTAACACGTCCTGTTTTGTTGACAGAAAGGGTAAACCCGATTTTTACTTTTCATAATTTTGTATACTGGCAAAAAGGTCGCATAGATATTGTTGTACTTTGCTTGCCATGTTTCTGTCGCTGCATCTTTCATTCCACGTCTATATAGAGGGCACCGGGGTACTTATACCGATGTATGTATACTCCGCAAGGCCAATGTCGCTGGGATACAAATTAACACGTACGCGCTGTCCAGTCGGCGGGAAGAGTAGTGCAAGTTTTTGTGTGTTTGTATGCAATTAGTGCAGTGCGCGTTCGTTGCGAGTGGATCGTGTGTACCAGGTTGCACATTATGCAACGTTGGTCTGTGATGCGCTCAAACGGAGACTAACCTTGACCAGTGTCCTCCAACAACTCCACCTGGATGAATTCTTTTACGTCATCCGCCCACACCTCCACCTTGGTGGTCAAGTTCAGCTGTGGAGTCGCCGGGCGTCCATCGTTGAAATCCGCTGTCCCCTCTGAATAATCGCTGCCTTCTTCAACCTTAACGATATTCAGATCTAGAGCTGTAATTTAGAAAACACACCGCGGTCTTCGATGGGCAACTGTTGTATCACGTAAGAAGGCAGCCATGCTGGTTGGAGAGGGGCATTTCACCCGTTAATAATTGGAATTGTCAACGCGTTGCCATAGTTGGACTTGTGCTTTCAATTCCAGTAAAGAAGCAAATATGTATTTAAAAGCAGCACCGTTAAGCTAATGTGCTGGTCTGGACCGATTTTGTTGTTTTAGGCAATCTGAACAACGGCGACGATTTCACTGTAACCTCCAGCCTGTTCATCACAGTTGTTGTCGAGTGCTGTGCGGATGAACAAACGTGCCATTTTGTTACTGCTTCTGCACACCGGTGTGGTGGAGAGCAGTTCACATTTATCAGTTGCCAATTTTGGCAACTACCCTATGATGCTCGCTGTAACTACCATCAAAAAGGTCCGTAGCCAACTGTTAAATGTCTGTGTGGATCGCTCTCCAACCACACAACGGTGGGGTGCTTAAGCAGTAACAAGTTGGCTCGTTTATTCAACTACGTGATAGCATTATTAATTGGTTGTCTCAGGTGGTGGAGGGTGCACGACACGCATTTTTCTCAAGCGATCTGACCCAAAAATATATTATGAATGACATCACGAGTTGCCGCGTAAATATTGTATCGGTTACAGCCCTGGTGTGTGTCAGCATTTTGCTTGTTGTGGGAATATATATATTTTTGATCAGTTATGACCTTGATGTGGGTCTGCACAAAGGGGGCCCCCGAATCAACAGATAAACAAGTAAAATATATATTTTTTCCTTCCAACAATTAACCATAAATGCCTATAAAACATAGTTACAGATGAAAAAATATTTCCGAAAAATACACACAGCGCAAAATCTAGTAGGCGCTACTGCTGATGTTTGTGACTGAACGCCACCAGGGTTTTTACTGACATGCGCATGAAAACCAAGACGCAGGATAACTTAATTGTGAGTATTGTTACCTTTAAATATGTTTAGTAATACTCTCACTGTGAGACTGTCTTCCTCTAAACCCCAATACACAGTGTAACTAAAATAATATAGTTAGAGCCTACATATTATTATACACGGGGGTTAAAAACCATCCGTAGCAATTTCAGTAAAAATTAGTCGGGAGAAAGGAGGGGGGCCCACATTTGGATCTTGATAGCCCCCTCCCCTCCTGTGTTGAAATAGTTTGTTGCACCTCTGTGTCTGCCTGCATGTGTGCTTTCAAGTACCGTTACTCAAAAAAGACACTTCAAATATTCAGAACAAAAAGGATCGCCTTCTTACTTATTCAGGAAAAAAAAAATCTTTGGTGTTTGAGCAAAATATAGTTAGACCCTACATGTCACTTTGCTTCTGCAATTCTATGACTGCATCTGGCAATGTGTCCGGGGAGCTGAATGTAAATGCTGAGGTCTGGTGTCCACAAGAGGGCTTCTAGAGAATGTTTGCTTAGTTTTCCTACTCCTCCGTTGAAGGAGCGCAGACTAAAGTGATTTACGATATGGTTCATAGTCTAAGTCGCATGACCACAGTAGCACTATGGCTTCTCTTCAATATTTGTCTTTGATGTATAAAAAACTGAGGTTTTATGTGGGTTAAATGGTGTAAATATAAATGTGTCATTAAACCCACCACCACCGACACAACCAATTAGTAAGGTTTGTCACTTAAAAAAAAAAAAATGCTAGTTATATGTACATGGTATAACCCGAAAAAAAACTCTCATGGATAATATTTGTCACGAAATTCTGTGTTAAACAAACTATATATACTTTTTTTATTTTACCAGGTAAGGCTCGCTGAGATATATATATACCACTTTTTCAGAAGCGACCTGTCCACAAATGGTAGCTCAACAAAGTGGTTTATCACGTGGAAATTTATAGCAGCCAAATACTCTAAACGTATGTTGCTAAATGTGGAGGGAAAAACCGGAGGACCCGGAGAAGAATGCATGTGACCACGGGGAGAACACGCAAACTCCAAAAATATATAGTAGGCGTCAGGGTCAGGATCGAACCCACAACCTCCTGTATACCAGGTGAGGTCGTTAACACCTTGCCACCATACCTGCAAATTACTCATTTAGGATCACAACTGCAGCAGCAGAAATTGTTCCTGCAATGATGATTCATATTTGACTATTGCCAAGGGCTTTAGAGTGTTATTCTCACCAGCAGCATCTTCGTATTTAACAGTGAAGTCAGGACACATCCCAGAGCTTGCAGTCTCTTCGTTTTCTTGTTTGATGACCCGACATTCCATATAAGAAGACATCTGGGGAACAAAAACCAGACATTCTAACATCTAATAAGATATATATACACACTCTTTGGTTCTATTGGGCAAAGTCACGTAGGTGAAAATAAAATAACAAAAAATCACGACGTTTCGGCCACAACACAAGCGGCCTTCATCAGGTGAAGGGACGAGACTGTCTTTTGTGTCTCAGACAGTCTCGTCCCTTCACCTGATGAAGGCCGCTTGTGCTGTGGCCGAAACGTCGTGATTTTTTGTTATTTTATTTTCACCTACGTGACTTTACCCAATAGAACCAAAGAGTATGGATCCTAGCAGTCACGAAAGCTTTAAATCTAGAATATATACACACACACACGTTTACTATTGTACATACACAAATGCAGACTGATGGGGCAAATGCAGGTGCTGTTAGCGAGGATCTTATGAAAGTCGGCACGACACAAGAGGGGGTGGCATAGCCAGCTGTAACCACAATCGGCCAACTTTTGTGTCTCAGTTAAAATAGTTTTATGATTTGTAGCCAGGTCGCTCTTTTTCAGAAGCGACCTGTCCATCAAAAATGAGAGCTCAACTAAGTAATTGGTTAATCATCACGTGGAAATGTATAGCAGCCAAATACTCTTAAACGCACGTTCATTCTAAATGTAAAGAGGAAAAACCGGAAGACCCGAAGAAAAAAACCCAAACGACCACGGGGAGAAAGAGAGAGACACTCGAACTCTAAATAGACAGCATGCATCGTCAAGGTCGGGATCGAACCCACGACCTCCTGCATACCAGACGAGGTAGTTAACATCTTGCCACCGTGGCGTTCCTATTGTACTCATGTTGTGGGGAATCACGTTGTTCTGCATACGAGGCGGACACCTGGCTGCTGCTGAGGACTGGTATCATTCATTAATCGCAGATTAGTCCACAAATATTAGTACGCATGCATGTTGAACTTGTGAGAATAGATTTTCCCCTTTTTTCTGGCAACAAAACAGGTGTTGAGATGTTAAAACACCAAACTGAAACCTTTTACAAGGAATCATGTCTGCATTAACCACAATACTTGTGGTCAGAATGCAACCAAAAACACACTGATAATGTGCATTGTCTTTGAAACGGATTGGTCCACACCAGAGACAGCTTTCTTTTGAGCCTAGTCTCAAAACGGTGTTAGACCAGAGGACGCCAAAAGCCGCACAGTGTAAGGCATGTCAGGGGAAGGATTCTCACCAAAAGGAAGGGGGAGTGGGACGGTGACAGGGGAAGGGGGAGGAGCAGGTGAGGGGATATGAGAGAGAACGGGTGGGAAAAAGAGGGAGAATTGGTGGGAACGGGATCGAGAAGGCTGGGGACGAGTGTGGACTGGGCGAAGCAATAAAAGACGAACCCCCTGCAACCTTGTGTCGGCTCTCCTTGACATCTGGTGGCAGCGGTGGGATCGACAATGGCTACAAGGAAGAACCTCCGCGGGAGAGAGCCAACAGAAGAGGAAGCAGGGGCCGGGGATCCTCCACGTCCAGGGCAACAAGGGGGCCTGCTACCAGGAGCAGCAGCAGGGGGCCCGGACCCCATGGAGGACCCCATGGAGGACCGCATGGTCCGCGTGGAGAAGGCACTCCAGTAGCTACTGCGTCGGCTCCCTATGGGGGGCCCCCTTGGCGCCGGGACCCCCTCTCCCACTCGTACTACGGGAGGAGGCGCCACGGGACCCGGAGGCTGACCAGCCAGCCGGGCATGAGCCGCAACCAGCCTCGTCACGCCAGCTACTGCCGCTCCCGCCAGGGCTAAACACCCAACGGGGGGAGCAGGTGGCAAGACGGGCGCGCCGGCTGGGGCCCGTCGAGAAATTCGTGGCCGAGGGAGGTGATTGGGAGGCGTTCGTCCGCCGATTCGAGGCTGCCTTCCACGCTCTCGAATGGTCGGCCGAAGAGGCGCTACGAGCGTCGCCATACATTCTAGATGACGATGCGCTCGCCTCTTATACCTCCCAATACCACGCTACAGGCAGTCTACGAGGCTTTGGGGGAGATCTACTGCCCAGCTGAGGGCGCCTTTAGACGGTTCCAGGACCGCCAGCGGGGGGCTAGAGAGTCCCCTTTAGCCTACAGGGGTGCGCTGCTCGTGTTGGCGAGGAGGGCTTTCCCTCGCCTGGCTGACGAGGCGCTCGAGAACCTCGTGGTCGAGCGCCTCATTGCCTACGCTTGCCACGCCGGCATTGTAATGCCGGTGGTGACGCCGGAGAAACGTATCCCGCTGTGGGCCTCCCGGATCCTACAAGCCCATGAAGAGGTCATGGGCCAGGCACTACCCGTGGGCTAGGTGGCTGGCGCGGCAGAGGACAGCAGCCGGGCAATAACCGCGGTGCTACCGGGACCAGCGATGCCAATCGCCGATCCTGCACCGTTGCCGCAGGCTGCCTATGTGGCAGCTGGGAACGGACCTCCAGCGTCTGAGCCGGAGCCATCGCTGCGGGAGGTCTACGCGGCGATCCGAGGGCTGGCGGAGCAGAGAGACCAGGGGCGCGACCAGCCGCCGCGCCGCTGGCAGCCGCCTCTACGACACCGCGCCGAGCCACCCCGACGAAACACCCCGTGGATCTACCACCATTGTGATTGAGAGGGGCATGTGGCGAGGGGGTGCCGCATGGAGCCGGAGACAGCCCACTCCACCTGGAACCCGCCGGGGCCAAACACCGACAGGAACCAGGTGAGTGACGCCGTCCCGTCCGGGCTCCACTGTCCTGGTCAGGGGCCGGGGATCGTGACGTGGCCGGGGATCGCGACGGGGCCGGGGACCGCGACGGGGACCGCGACGGGGACAGTGATCATGACGGGGCCGGGGACCGCGACGGGGCCGGGGACCGCGACGGGGACCATGACGGGGCCGGGGACCGCGACAGGGACGGAGGCCGCGACGGGGATGGGAATCGAGTCACGGGCGGACGTGACGTCGCGGATGGAAGTGGCGTCGCGGTCGAGGGTGGCGTCGCGGTCGAGGGTGACGTCACGGCCGGAAGTGACCTCGTGGCAGGAAGTGACGTCGCGGCGGGGGGTGGCGTCACGGCCCGGGGCAGCTCTGTTCAACGTGCCAGTGAACATTATTATCGAACACCACGCAGAATAAAACACGCGACCGAATTAATTATTAATTATGTTAATGTTCAAGGAAACCAATCAGCGTCAAAGGGGCGGTACTAATATGGGCTTTTTCGATCACTCCCAAGAGGCAGCGAACTGTTGACTTTAAGGACGGAGCAACAAACAGTCCGAGTGACCAGAGTATATCATTACCGCGTTTTGGACAGAATTGATTCATTGCTATTGATTATTCCGACTTAACGACGTCCCACCGGCGGATCATCACGTAAACGCAGCTGTAAAACACAGTACATAAAATCCGTGATCTGGTTCCATCTGTAAAAGATGCTGTTCCAGACATACAGCACCCGGGCGTTTACAAACTAAAGTGCCTCTGTGGTAGTAGCTACATTGGAGAAACCAAACGACATATCTCGGACCGCATCCGCGAACATAAAGCAGACTTGAAACACGGTAGAACGAACTCCTCTGCCGTGGCAGATCACTGTTATAATTCAGTGGGCTCACATGACATTGACTTCTCCAAGACGGAGGTTCTTTGCAAACCAACCGGCTACCATGAGATATTCGTTCATGAGGCCATCCACATATACAAGCAGAGAGACCATTTCAACCGAGAAGGTGGATTCTGGCTTAGTAACCATTGGAAAGATGATTTAAACCATACTGTATGATAGTTGAGTTGTTGCAGCCCCTTTTGGCGTCCTTGTACGAGGTGCCTCTGTGGATGTGTAGGCTTTGACTTTAACATAGCTATTTCGTTGACCAGTCACAAGCTAATCCCTCAGCTATTTCAATGCTAAATTCTCCTGTTTGATTTGTACTAGGTGCCTCTGTGGATGTGTAGGCTTTGACTTTAACATAGCTATTTCTGCGCCCAGTCACAAGCTAATCCCTCAGCTATTTCAATGATAAATTCTCCTGTTTGATATGTAAACCCCTTTGTCAAGGTGCCTCACTTCTCTCAACCAGCTTAAAAGACGCTACGAATCTTAGCAGCGTTCATTAAAGCTCTGTCGTCCCGACAGTTTTGTTCCTTCACCTGAAGAAGGCTACTTGGGTTGTGGCCGAAACGTCGTGAGAATTTAATTGTTTTATTTTATTATTTTATTCTCATTCTATGTGACTTTACCGAAAGAACCAAAGAAGATTAATCCTTGCAGTCACGAAAACTTTAAATCGAAATGTGAAACACATCTTAGAATATGCTGTGGCTTATGTTAATTTGGGGGTGGCGTACGCTAATTGTGTTTCGAGTATGCTAATTATGCGATGGAGCATGCCGATTCGGCGGTGCCATAAGAGAATGAATGTCTCTCTGTATATCTATGTCTCTCTGTATCTGTTTATTCCTGTGTCTCTGCCTCTTATCTCTCCGTATCTACAACTGCATCACTGGCTGTGTCTCTATCTCCATACAGCTCTTATCTCTCGATCTCTCGTCTCCGTGTCTCTCTAGTAGCGCTGCTACGGCCTCATTAGCTTCGTAACAACACCTCCAGTCAATCCATGCACAGCTGTCTCTCTGTGATCTCTCTTTGTTGTCTGTGTTCTTGTCTTTGTGCATGTTTGTCTGTATCTGTGGCTATGTCTTATCTGTGTATCCTCGTCTCTCTCCGTCTCACTGTTTCTGTTCCTCTGTATGAATGTCTACGTATCTCTGTACGTTTCTGTATTACATCTGTATTAGTGTGTTGATGTCTCTGTGTGTCTCTGTACGTGTCTGTGTGTACTGTTTGTCTGTGTCCCTGTACGCGTCTGTGTATTACTGTTTGTCTCTGTGTTTCTGTACGTGTCTGTATTACTGTCTCTCTCTGTGTGTCTCTGTCTCTGCACGTGTCGGTGTGTGTTACAGTGTTTCTGTACGTGTCTGTGTGTATTACTGTCTCTCTCTGTGTCTCTGTCTCTGTACGTGTATGTGTGTAT